TCCCTTTGGCTGCCATCCCTAGCCTATCCTCGCTCTGTAACCCTAACTCAACTCCAACCCTGAGATCCTGCAGCCCCCCTCTCTCCTCCTTCCCTCTCTAAAGCCAGGGGAAAATTTGGCTGCTTGTCCTCATGCCCTTTGCCGGTTATAACTTGGCTCGACACCTGGCAGCTCCCAGCACTGCGCATGGGCCGATCCGCATGGGCATCTGTCTCCTGGGACGTCGGGTAGAATGTTGTGTGTGTGTGGGGCGTTAGCTGCATATGGGGCCACGCGTGACCTGTCCCGGTGTTTGCCCATGGTGCTGCCCCACTGCAGGCAGGAGCCTGTTTGCTTGTGCCCTCTCATTGTGGGGTGTGGCAGTGGGACACACCCTGCACAGCTGCTGTGAAACACCTGGTGTAGACCTGGCTCCCTGCTCCAGATTTCGATTCCTGGGCATGGCTGAGCTGGTTGTGACATGGGAACAAATGCTCAGAGAAGAGCTAGGGAAGGATGCTGCCAGGTGATGTCTTGCAGGAGCAGCAGAAAGGAACCAAGAGCAGGAGAAGGGACCCTTCAACCCCATGCCCGGTCCCACCTCTCCAGCCCATCAGTGCCCCTGCTTGGACTGTACCATTGCCTTTGGCAGACAGTGTTAAACACTGGCACAGCTCCCATCCACTGAGACCTGCTGCTCCCCACAACCTCTCTCCTAAGGGCTCCTGCTTTTTTTCGCCCAGCAGCCAGAGCAGGGCAGCTTGCACATGCCACATCCTGCTCCTGGAGCATACCAGGCTTTTTCCTTTACATATTTCTGCCCAATGCATATTTTGTGATCACGAGTGTTAGAAATGGATGTGACAGACAAGGAGGCATTGTCAGGGCAGCTGAGCACCAGGGCGTTGTACTCCACCAGGACAAAGGCTGTTGTGTTTCTTCTGTGACAATAAGCAATGAGGGTTTATGCAGGGGCAGAGTGGCTTTTCAAACAGCTCTTCTCCTCCCCACTGGCAAGAGATGACTCCGTGGTTCCCTTGCCAAAGGGGAGGTGAAGTGCAGGAGCTGGGTGGTGCTGGCAGCTTCACCAGCTCTGCCCAAAGAGATCCCAACCCCAGCTAGGAAACAGAAGATGCTGCGGTTGCATTTGGGGCATGTTCTCACCCCAGACTCGCCATGGGGCTGTACTGTGGGGATCTCCCTGGGATGTTTGGTCATGCTGGGAAACATGGAGGGTGCAGGGCTGGAGCCTTCTTGCTCCCTGGGAAGTGGGTTCGAAACTCCCTGCTTTGCTCTGTTCCAGCTGGTAGGCGAAGAATGGTGAAGCAGAACCCACCAGCACCCAGCTGGCTCTATGTCCCAGTGCACAGGCTGCGCTTGAGGCTGCAGAACAAACAGGGCAAGCCACAGAAAGCGCCATTTGCTTTGCAGCAGCCTTTCTTTTCCAGGCTGCATCACTAGGTGCTGGTGTCCCATCTTCTGCTTGCTCCATCATGGGTTAAGGGCCTTCAAAATAAAAAAATACCTGCAAACTTGCTGCCACAGCTGCTCCAGGGAGTTCCCAGGGGAGTGGATGCTGGAGAAGGCAGCTGCTCCCTGGCTGCATCGCTGCAGGTGAAACAAGACAGCATCTCCTTCAGAGTCCAAAGACCGGGGGTGGACACAGCACAGGGAAGGGAAAGAAAATAAGAATAAATGAAACAGCACCCTGGGCTGGGCTTTTCCATCCCTGCCTGCCAGGGAGCCAAGGGCAGAGGCCTGCTCCCTGTTGCCGCCTCTGCCCTGCAGGCTGCCGGGGGCTGCAGGGAGGAGAGAAAACAGCTCTGCCCTGGCTCTGCTTATTTCTCCTTGAGCAGACCCAGAAACAGACTCACCTGTTTTTTTGTGGATCACTCTTCAGACACATGATGCTGCAATTGTTCACCTGTTTAACAGTGAAAGGTGAACCCTAGAAGCTATATATACAGGAGGTATAAACCAGACCAGACCTAACAGTGGAGAGCAGCTTGCTTTTTTTTTAAAAAATGATGCTGCACCTGGAGGATGTCATCCAGGAGCCCCCATGTCCAGCTGTCATCCAGCCCATGAGATGTCCCTAACACTAAGCCAGTGCCTGCAGTTATTGGCACTGGGCATGAGGGCTTCTTGGTTGAGAAGGGACCTTTGGTGGCAAGGATACCCAGGTTTCACCCATCCTGACCTGCCCTGCCTTGCAGGGCATCCCTGTACTGCTTCCTGGGGCAACAGTACTGGGGATGAGCCCATCCCTGAGCAATGAGGGTCTGGTAAGCCCAGGTTCGTGGGCAATGCTCTGCTTTCCACCTGTAGGAACCACCACCGGAACACGTTCACCATTTCACCTTGCAGGTGCTCGGCTTACTGGTGTGGGCTCTCATCGCTGACACAACATACCACCTCCATGCAGCGTACGGCTGGGTCATGTTCGTGTCCATCTCCTTCTGGATAGTAACAGTCCTTTTCTTCATGACTTACCTCCTGCAGCTTCAGCTGAAGTTCTATGTGATTCCTTGGCCCCTCGTGGTATGTACCTGAGAGAGAGCAAGGGGTGGGGTCCCAAGTGGGAAACATCCTTGGGAAATGCTCCAAGAGGACCTGGGCTTTTCTGGGCTGATGGAACAAAGTCCCTTGCACTTTGCACAATGACATTGTTTCATTCTGCCCCTCAATTGCTTAGAAAATTTTCGAAACATGGAGCCCTGTATCAATCCAGAAAGTTACAGCCACTGCATCACTGCTGCAGTCGTGGTGTCAACCAGAAACCTCTCAGCACAACCTGGGGCACATTTAATGAGATGTTAACCTGAGATCTGTCCTCAGCGTGAGGGGCTGGACCCTTTTCCTCTGCTTCTCCTGGGGAAGAGGGGGGAATGCAAAACTGAGCCTTTTGCTCATCCCTCATCCCAGCACACACGAGTCTGAGCCCAGACCTCATGACATGCTCTTTGCCTTCCACAGCTGATGATCTTCAATGCTGTGGCAACTGTCCTGTACATCACTGCCTTCGTAACATGTGCGGCCGCTGTCCAGCCTACATCGTGGCGGCAGTGGGATTACAACCGGAGAGCCGCAGCATCTGTAAGTAGCGGCAGGCAGGCGAGGGCCGTAGGGCTAGGGTGGCTGCCGTGCTCACACATGGGGTGTGCTCCTCTTCCAGTTCTTTGCCTGCCTCACAATGATCACCTACGGGGCAAGCACCTTCTTCAGCTTCCGTGCCTGGAAAGGACTCGGCAGCAATGCAGCCACCAGCCAAGTGACTGACCATGCGTAAGGAGTGGACAGCGAAGCCCAACCCTCGGCCATCCTGGGTCAGCACATGCCGGGTTCGGTGGCTTGGAGCCTCACGTGCCACCAGGTCTTGTTCTTGGACCAGTCTGTGCTGGCAGGGATGGTTGGTACCAGGTCACGTAGATGCTGCTCAGTGGTCTCCGATGATGCTTCCAGCTGATGTGCCCACAGCACAAATCCACCAGCGCCGTCACCACAGCCTCGCCAGGAGGACATGGACTTGCTGGGGGCTGAAGCTCCTGCTTGTCCTTGGGGTTCATCCAGATCCTCGCTGGAGCAGCTCCGCTGAGGGGGCTCAGCCAATTCAGCACACTCCAATACTAAAATTCACTAAACCAAGCCCAGGCTCCTGTCTCTGGTCACTCACACCAGTGTAAGTAACTGCAATTAACATGATACATAAATGGTGGCAGAGGTGGAAGATGAAAGCTAAGCAAAGGAAGCAGTCAAAACTGTTGTATTGATTCCTAACAATTTGAAGCACAAATTTTATGCTTTAAATAAAAATCTTCCTAAATACATCAGTGGAGTCTGTCAAGAAAATGTTTGTCTTGCCAGAAGGCGCACATACAGCATGGCATGGAGTGGACAGCAGAGATATCACTGGCAGAGGCGACTGCCTCTTCCCAGTGCATATGGGCATTACAGCCTGGCCCCAAGGGAGGAGGTACAAAGTCCATAGGGTTCATCTTGCTTTGCTTTACATACATGCACACACACACGTACACATGCACACACACAGAGTGTGCATTCAATACTGCAAGAACACAGAAGAGTTGCCAAGGCTTTGATGTGCTCCCTCCTGCAGACTCGGCACTGTACACACCACAGAGTTAATAGGACCACCTATTAACGGGAAAGTCAATTTTGCACATTAGCTACAGGTGGTCTTCAAAAATTAAAACTAAGCCTGCAAATGCTCTGGGAACACACCAGGGTCAGTGCCTCAGGAGAATACAGAACCACGCTTCTCCCCTACACTGCAGATGACAAATTCACCTTTTATTTCTTGGGCACACGGGTTGGTGTTCATCAGAACTAGGTGTGATGCCCTGCCCGACACAACTTTTCCTTTCACATCCTCCTTGTACAAGCTATTAAAAATAGATTAAATGGGTTCAATTTATTTCCAGATATTTCTACACAAGAAAGCTGGTGCACAGTGAGCTATGCTGCAAAATTTACCACATGCTCTGCACGGGAAAAGTTTTAACAACTTGTCTACAGAGGCTTAGGAACTTTTAACTGCATTAATGGAAGGTGTGAATTGAAAAGGACTGGACAAACTGCGTCAGTCCTTGGCAGATCTGCCTTTATTTGGTTTTCAGTGAGCTAAATGAAGGGCAAAGTTTCCACAACTATGAATATATATATATAAATAAGTAACAGTAAGAAAATCAGCCTCTTCATGCATTATGACAATGTTAAAACTCTTAAAATGTGGTCAGACTTGCACACAGATAGTCCATTATATAGAGAAATCTAATCTCTTTAAAAAGCCCCGCTGCCTGATGGGAAATGCACCAGTGTCCCATCGCTGAAGGGCATCTCCCCTGCTGCATCAACCTGCTGTGGGACAGAGGGGAGGGCTCTGCTCACCATCCTGTGTTTCTATCTACTCTTAGACTTTTAAAGACATACTCACATTGCCTGAGCATGTCATTAAGTGGCAGATTAACGTGTCTTAACAGCGTAAGAACAGTGTCCCTGTAGCTCCAAATGCAGTATAATTCCAACAGAGATGTGCCCGGGGTTTTGTGACAGGCTTATGGCTACAGCTCTACCAGCAAGCCACTCATCTATTTTTCAACAGATGCTGAAAAATGCATTGCTGCACTAATGTTGCTAACAGTTTAATAGCAAAACCACGCCTTTTAATCAGCATGCTATTTAGAGCAGTAAATGACATGGTGGTAAACACGTCTGTGCCCAACCTACCGTCAAGCTTATATTACTAGAACTAAAGCAGCTGTACCTCTGCTGACAAGACAGTAAGAAATTGCATACGCAGGCCAGATTTCAGTTTATCATGGTTATTTTTCCCAGTGTAGAATAGCTGGGGCCTGAACAAAAGTGGATCAGAGAACTTTGCACATTAAGGGTGAGACTTCTAAAAGCCAGAGCAGACAGATTTACACACTAACATATCAACTGTCAGAGCTGAGAGACATTCTTATGCTAGAACATCTACATATTAAAACATACTCTTCCATTAGAAAGCTGTAGTACTTAAGATCATATTGTATTAAAGTATGTTAAAAAAAACCCAAAACAACAAAACATTGATGGGGAAGAGCTCCGAAGTTACGTATTCCCACCTGTCCTTCCAAGAGGTGGAGGGACATGCTCTTTTTACACTGCTGTCTTGATTCTGACAAGTTCTACATTTTGGGGAGATGGTTAAGATGCCAACCCAAATAACACGTGCACAGGCCTATTTATTGTCCTTTCAGTGTGCTGGGCTTCTCAGCATGCATAATGGTTAGGCTGGTGTACAAATACTGTGTGTTTATTAAAAACAATTATGCTGGTAGAGGTGAAATTGTTGTCTTCTGTGGTCACTGAATACCAACCAGAATTCACAAACAGATGTTTCTAGGATCAGGCCTCTGAAGGTGTGGTCTGGAGGGTGAATGAGTTTTCATCATATAAAAGCACCCCGATTCTCATGACCTTTAGTGTTTTAATGTCCAAACGAAGGCAGCAGCAGTCATCTGCAGAAGGAAAGTATTGCATAAACTGTTCTAGGAGGAGGATATTGATGATTTGTTTAACGAAGTCACTACTAACCCACTGCTTAAATCCAGACTTCGACCTTCTTTTTCCTAGAAATATGGAAGAAAAAAATTCATGACTCAATGCTGTTTTGGAATAAACAGTTCAAAAAATGAAATGGGCAATACATATTCTGTTTATTGCATCAAATCAACATAAAATTACATGTTACCTATATATCTATGATTGAAAGTGAACCCAAACATCAAGAAGAGATTGTGCAGGAATCCCTGGATTAAGGTTGCTGTTGTCCTACCAGCCATACGTCCATGTAAGAGCACAGTTGTGCTTACATCTGGTCAAAACCAGCCAGCCAGCAGGCTCACCCAGTGCTCAAGGCTCAACTAGTGAAATCTAGCTTCTGTGGTTTGCTTCTCAGGTGTCCCCAAAAGTGCAAACTCCAACTGAAACTATTCCTGCTGCTGAGACATGGACTGTCTCTTTCTCCTCAACCTGCCCCCATTTTCACAAAACTTAAAGGGGTTGGGTGAGGCAGCAGAGGACGTAACTCTGACAACTTTGACTCTTTTGCTCCTTTGTCAAATGTGACTGGACAGACACTGGGGAGCGCTTACATGTATTTCATTTCCCTAGGAAAAAGCTCATTCAAAAACCTTAATACTTCTGTTTGTTTCTCCAGCCTGGACAGAGAGGAGGAGAAATACAAATGGAATAAGCTTAAAAAACTAATTTTGAAATGGCTGGGGAAAAAAAAAAAAAACCCAAACCAAAACATTAAAAAGCCATATCATAGAATCACAGAACGGTCAAGGTGGGAAGGGACCTCTGGAGGTCATCTGGTCCAAACCCGCTGCTCCAGCAGGACCACGTCCAGACACCTTCTGAATAACTCCATGGATAGAGACTCCGCAACCTCCCTGGGCAACCTGTGCCAATGCTCGGTCACCCACACGGTAAAAAGTGCTCCCTTATGCTCCGTTGGAAATCAATGTTCAAAGATGCAGAAAATGTGTGTTTCTGAAGAACTGCTCCACATACCAGCTTCATTCATGTTTTCTAGAAATTATTAAATGTGCATTTTGATTTTAAATAGCCACTCAGTGAAGTTATTTTCCTTTTGACCCTGTACATTGTCAACATACAGTTGAATAAACACTGCTGCCTTCCTGTAATAACACTACCTTTGGCACTCTCAGGCAGAGCTACACAAAAACAATAGCCATTATGCTAATGAAAATAAACAATGTGACATACTTACAGCTCTGTAATCCAAGAACATTTCTTTGAAAGCCAGAAAGTCAGTAAACGTGAGAAGCATATCAAATATATCACCTGCCATTTCATCTTTGTGCTGTCTATAGAGAGACAAAATCGGGGAATTAGAAAACTGTGTGGGAAATAAACTCTTATTTTAAAATGGTATGAGATCAAAAGGATACTAGGACAAATAGAACAGTATCAAAATTTAAACAAGAACATTATTATGGGTCTTCGGTAAAGCATCAGTCCTTGAAAATCAGACAAAGAAACTGATCTGTAAGTCAACAGAAGTAACACTCAACTACCATTTATCTATTTATTTATCTTGAGCACTGAAACAGCTAGACAGTCCCTTGGAAGGTGAGAAAGGTTGGGGAGAGGCACAGAATGCTCATACATATCCCTTAAGAATGAGGGACTGTACTGGCAATACTTGGTAGAGGACTTTTGATGAAAACATTTTGGAAGAAAGACCCTGTGCTCCCATATCGGCATATTTCAACAAGACTCTTAACAGTCAATGGTTGGGTTAGTTTTGGGTTTGGGGTTTTTTTTTAATTATTTAATTCTTATCAGAAGGAGCTTTACCTTAAACAGTCTATATTTTAAGCATATTACATGTATTCACAGTAACTTCCCAATGTTTTATTTTAAAAAATTTAAAAAATAAATAGATTAAAATATTGTAAGATATTCAGTTCTCAATGAGTCTTGATTTTCTTATTCAAGGGGAAAAACAGTGATCTTTCAAAAGTGACCTCTTCATAAAGTTGGTTAAGCTAAAGTGACCAAATGCAAAAGCTTAAGACAAATCAAACTTTTCTCTGAATGCTTTCTGCAAAAATTACAATAAAGACATCACATGACTGTTGAAAGACTACCAGGCTATTTAAGTGTCCAACACAGAGC